GGGAAATGTTCTCTGTAGGTTTGTGTGCCATTGGTGTGGGGAGTCTTTAAGAATTAATGAATATTCCCTTTGAACTTACGCCAGGTGCTTCATATTCTTTGCTGCCATCCTTTCCCCATCTTGCTCTTCCGCTACTACCATGATTATACTGTCCCAGTGTGTTGCAGCACACGGGGAAAGAGAAGGGATTATAAAATGATCATGACCTGTTTATGTCCATTGATCCAAGTTCACAAAAACTCAGGGCTTGACTGTAATGTGTGTTGCCACTCGGTTACTGCTGTTGCCTGGCTGTCCTAGAATGGAGTGACACGTCTGTGGTTGAAGAGCTGTCCTCTTTACAGGCAGCGTGGCCATTACCACTGCAGATATCACTGTCGCAGTGATGGGAAGCAGTAGGAAACCTCAGGAGAGACATCTACGTGCTGTAACAGCACTCAGAATGACAGGGCCGCTGTTAGCGTGAGTTGGAGCGTTCGGGGCGAAGGCCTTCACCAGCACAGAAAAGTGCTGGGAGTGATGGAATGGGTGTCAGTAGTAAGCTGAAAGCGTGATTCCTAGGGACCGAAATTGCTTCTTGGGGCTGTCCTTTGATTCTGACCCTGTCAAAGTGCAGCTTCCTCAAATATCCCTGTGAATTCAGGACCTTTTAAATTACAGGACTGTCTGAAATTTATGCAAACTTTCATTATATTACTAGCACTGAAAAGTGGACTGTAAGTAATACTGACAAGTCTTATACTCACAGTTCAGGCTTCTCCAGAACTTGACAGCGCAATATTATGGGCTGCTGCAGAGGACCCATGTCCTGCTCTCCATGGATTTGTTACTACAAGATTGTCTTACTGTGCTTTGGATACACAAAATAAGCGATGTGGGGTTCTTTACTTTTCTTTGTACTGAAGCGTACGGCCATAAGACACATCTATAAAACACTTCCTCAGAGCAGTGAGTTTTGTTATAGTAACACAGATAGTACTTTCTCTGTTGAAATGAAAGGAAGTTTCATAATCTGTGGGTCTTCACCCCTAGGATTGGAAAGGCAGGTATTTGAGTTATACCTGGAGGACCTTCTAGCAAGTATGGCTTGTCAGGCCTGGCGTTTCGTCAGGAAAGCGTGGTACAAGAGCTGCTGGCCTGCCCAGTCTGTTTCCCTCACTGCTTACAAGTATTAGCAGCGATGGCTTTTGAGCACTTAGGCATGAGCAGGTATCAAGAGGGCACCAGCTGGGGTTGCGTTAGCGGGGGGATCGCTGAGCATCGCCCGGTCCCTGCTGTGGATGCAGGCGGGTCGGCTGGGATGGTGCTCTGCTCTCCTGCGAGCTGCTTGGCATGTATCCTGTGGTTCTTGCCCTCATGCAGATTTTGGTATGGGGTATCTAAGGTCAGGAAAATTGGCCACAGCGGGACCTGTTGAGTTTTGGGCGCAGTACTGCAGGCAAGACCGGTGGGAAGCCATGGGAAGGCAGCAGTGAAGAACTCACCACCAGGAAAGGATTATGTGAGCTGGGAGCATTAGTGTGAAATCAGAAAGGCAGAGTTGGAGGACTGTTACTTTCCATGGGAAGATACTGTGAAGCATAATGGACAACCTGTTCGTAAATTGCAGCAAGGAAGCTTCGGGTTAGACATTAGGAAAAGTTACATTAGAGCTAGCCAAGTGCTAAACAGGAGTTGAGGAGAATGAGAGATTTTTGGATGTTACTGGGGAGCTTTTAGAATAAGCGATACTGACATCTGTCAGCGATGATATCAGTATAGTTGATTCTGACTCTGGAAAAGTTGGTCTTCCTCCAGTCCTCAAGATGGTTCTGTATCAGTTCAGGAACATTTGGCGCACGAACAATGGAAAACTGATTATTTATTAGCACCAATCCCTTGAGATCTATTTGAAGTATTTCTTAGCAAGACTGGCACAAAGTCTTTGAGACTCCTTAGTGAAGAGGCGAAACAGGAACGTACGGATGTACAGAATTTGGGAAGTAATTTGTTGGATCTGGACATGAGCTGACTGGTCATGGGAATGGCAAGGATATGAGTTCCCTGTTGCTTGTGAACACAACATTGCCAGGGTGGTGGTGTAGCTACTGCAGTGGAGTATTAATCGTTGCTGTAAGTTATGGAGGAGCTTTATGACCCTGTGCCGTTCAGAGGATGCCCATCACCTTGCCTCTGACCAAGGGAGATGTGCGAGGACAGGCAGACCATGCAGCAGAGCCGATCCAGCAGCCTGCGGCCGTCCGAGCAAGTAGCCCGGCTCCCTCCTCCCAGCTGTGTGCTTGCCTCTCTCCCGCTCTTGTGGCTCTTCCTTGCCTGTCGAACTGACAGAAAAACACTCCGTCGTAAAGAGGGAAAGGTTTCCTGAGAGCTGAGTGAGCTAAGTGGCTTGGCGTACGTGAAAGGGAAGGATGGTGCGCAGGAGCGGAGAAATCCACACCGGCTCCCGCGGTGGCGGAGGCAGCATTCAGCTCTCTTACTAGTCTGCGCACTCTGATCTGGTTTTTGTAAGTCTGACAGGACGGAAGTGATCCACCAAAATATTTTAATTTCTTACCCATGTCCCGTGCCCTTCCAACGCGAGTTTTAAGCTGTGTGCTGGAGGTCGTGACTCTGCTCGCGGATACGGCGTCGACAGAAATGACGGCTGTTGCGCAGAAAATGCAGCGTCGCGTGTGTAGCTCACTTCGTGCGCTTAACGCTCAGTTGCTGAGCACAGCCGACTTGCCCCATGCCCTTCGTTTTCAAATAAAGCCTTTAATTAAAAACAAACAAAAAAATTAAGGGGGATTTTCCTTTTTTTCCCGGCAGTTACACTATTTTCCTTTTCTTTGTAATCTCAGTGAGTCACTTCATAGATGTTGAAAAAGTATTGCAAAATACTTCCTGTGTGAAGGAACTCAGATTTCAGATGAGGCTTAAAAACTGAAGGAATGTTATGCCTGCCTGCCTGGAAAGTACATCTTTCGAGCCCTTTGAATTCCCAGAAAACAGACAAACCTGGGACGTCGTGACACAAAGGTTTCAGTAATCTGTTAAGCAGTTTGAGGGTGTAAAAGAAGTGCAGCTCTGAATGATGGATAAAGAGCTAAAGGTTCAGCTTTTTTTTTTTTTTCCATAGAAATCTTAAATCTTGAGAAGAAAACAAGTGGTTTGAGGAAGTTTCAGGGTGACAGATTAGATTACACTTAATGGTTACACGATTACATTATTGATCTGGTTTATGGGTTCAGTAATAGACTTCCAATTTTCTCAGCAAATTGGTAATTTTCACAGATTCACAGAGTGGAAGGGGTTGGAAGGCACCCCTAGAGATCATCCAGGCCAACACCCATGCCAGAGCAGGATCACCCAGAGCAGATCACACAGGAACAAGTCCAGGCGGCTCTTGAAAGTCTCCAGAGAAGGAAACCCCACCACTGCTCTGGGCAGCCTGTTCAGTGCTCTGTCACCCTCACAGAAGTGAGGAAGAAGTGTTTCCTCATGTTCAGCTTGAACCTTCTGTTTTCCAGTTTGTGGCCGTTTTAATTTACTTTGAACAGTTAGAATTTAACGTTTGAAGAACAGTTAGTACAAGCACGTGTCTCCTAGAAAGGGCAGCGAGAAACTGATTTCTCTTCGGTTTCAGTGGCCAGAGGGTTTTCCCACTGATTTGACAAACGAGTCTGAAGCATCAACGACAAGTCATTCCTAATCAAAAGGTTGCCTGTGTTAGAGTTCAAAGCATGCTTCTCATGGCGCCAGATCTCTGCTGAATCAGATTTAGGTGGTGTTGTTCAGTTTTTGGTAATCCTGGCTACCTGCGTATACTGACTGACACCCTTTGTCTTCAGGAATTTTTTACATTATTAGCCACACTTCAGAAGGTCTCTGCTCAGGAACTGTGCCTATGTTGTGCTAGGTACTGTGTATTTCAAGTATTTCCTGCCTGATAATTGAGTGTTTTATAAAAATCCCAAACAAGAAGCCTTTTTATGGATTTAATAAAAAAAAAAAAATTATTTTAAATTCTGGGCGGGTTCAACTTTCTGTTGAAATATGACTCACTTTTTAGCTGTTAATTATGAAACCATGACTCAAACACAGAGCTAAAGATGACACCGAAGGTATGGAGAAGTTTTCCAGAGGAAAATGAAATGCGATTAGAAGCTTTTAAGGCTGCCAAAAGGCAAATAAGGAGCTTAACACTGTTATTGAAGAGGTGACTCAGGAAGGCAGTGTGGCAATCATTACTTCTGGCTATGTCCAGGAGAGGTTTGACTTTCCTATGTAGGTTTTTGTCAGGGGCAGGCCTAGGAGATTCAAGGTCCCTTCTGCCAAAGAGCCCCTGAAATGCCAAGGGTGAAATGAGAGGACGGCGTGAGGGAGCCAATATATTACAGCAATTAGGGTTTGGAAGGAGGAAGCAAATCCCCATTAGGTGAGAGTTTGGAGGGGTCCTGTGTGACTTAATTTGGGAATGGTAACCAAAGAAAAGAAACTGCATTACTGCTGACAGTGAAGAACCGGGGCATTCTTGAGTATAGGGTAACTTGTATTAAATCCTACTTCACCTTGAAGACTTCAGTGCAGTGCTTATATTACAGAGAATCTGATTTTTACCTTGTATTGTCTCTTTATTTTTCGGTTAATATGCCAGACTTATTTTCCATTATATCCATGTGAAACAAGTTCTGAGAATTTATCTTTATTATTCTTATATTTGTTTAAAAAAATACATATATGCACAAGGGGATGCAGCTGTCATTCTTTCTTATCAATCCTCTTTATTATAAAGAGAGAGGGAAAAAAAATCCATCCCTTCCATGAAACAAGTAAACATATTCCTCTTTCTTCTGTCTGCTGAAGAGCGAGTCTGGGAGCGTGCTCTGGGGATTGTACTCTGGGGATCGTAGGTTGTCGTTCTCTCGGGTCAGTGCGTGAAAGCTCCCTGTGGCCTGCAGCGGCTCAGGTGCTTCCTCAGAAACTTACAGCTCTTCTCACTGCTGTTTTTCCAGGAAACGATCAGAGTCAACGTTACGATGTTGAAAGCCAACGGAGAATCTCACAAAGGCCAGGTTTGTCTGTTTTCTGTGTTTACTCGGTAAAGGAATACGCAGTGCCACCGAGCCCGCACGTGGGGGCAGATGGCTTGTTGGGCCTGACGTCAGTCAGCACGAAGCCTGTTCCTCTGCAAACAGAGCTGTAGTGCAGGGCCAGGAACCACACGGCTCACTCTGTCTGTCTGTCTTTCAGGTTGTCTTTAATATCACCTATGCCAATGGACAGGTGTACCTAAATGACTTCCCTATGAGAAGCGGGGTGGCCCACATAACGTGTCAAACAGTAATAGGTGAGTATGCTCTCTTTTTCAGGGGGTTTGTTTTCTGCCCCCTTTCCCCACCCTGGGTATTTGGCTTCCCTGCTGTCTAGTAATCAGAGCTTATGATGACTCCAAGCTCTCCTCCTCTGCAAACCTGAGCATTGTAGAAGCAGATGATTTCCCAAGGTAGGATAATTTTGCTACTGAAATGGGTGTGGAAGAAGAAAAAAAACCCTTCCTGCCTTGTTCTTGAGTCACATTCACACACTTCGATGTAAAAGGTCTGATCGGAAATCCAGCCTCTGCCTATCTTTTCACAAGAACGTTTTGCACTACAAGCTAGACAGTGTAAACAGAAGGATGCAGCTCCACCCTGCTAACGGCTGTGTCCCTCGGCTGGCTGGCATGTATCCAAGATGAGATTCAGTAACAGAAGTATGAATTAAAAGATCTCCCTAGCAATAATTACCTCATTTCTGTGACTATTGGACAAAGGAGTTTTCTGCTGGGTAGGATATTACAGCACAAATACGGCAGTTTCGCTCGTGTCCTGCAGTGGTTAATGACTTTGAATTTGCTCTTTTTTCCACTGATTGTGTCACGCCGTTTGTGAGAGATCAGAAAGTACTGTGATTCTTTTGAGATCCACAAAGCATACTGTATAATTAATTAAACAAGGGCCTTAAACAAGGGCTCATCTGATTGAAGCTTCTGTTGTGCTCAGAATGATCTCTTGATGGATCAGGTGCAGTCTGTCTCCAGCTTGGTTTCTGGGGTCATCCTCTCCTTACAATCAGACGATTGCTTGGAAAGTACTAATGTTCTTTCTACATTGCTCCTCTGAGCCATGACCTTGTTTCTTGAACCCTTCCTTCCCAAGCATGCTCAGTTATTAATTCAACACTATTCCTTTCTGGAGAGGGAGAGCACTAATTAAGTTCTCTCTTTCTAGGACAGTTACGTTCCCATCGCTTCTATTTTTTCTACCCTAGGGTAGAAAAACCTGGCAAAATGTCTTTTACCAGCAAGGTAATTGACTCCAGAAAACCAGATATGATTTTATTGACTGAGAGATACTGAGCACTCCATGGTACTTCCTGTTAACTTCCCAAATCACAGCTGTATAGCTTGCAGTGACTACAGGTATGAACAGGAATCTGAAACGGTGAGAAAAATCCTGAGCTGTGAGAACCTGGAACACCGTCTCCGTGTTCTCGGAGTTCTCAGCACAGTACCTTTCTCTGTCGTCGATAAAGTAATGTTTGTACTATTTACTTACTAAATCTTGAGGATAGATGCAGATAGTATTTGTAAAATGCTGCAGGAATATCAAGATATTCGTTACCTGTTTACAGAGGGGAAAAAATACTCTGGAATGTGTGTAACAACCAAATTTGAGCCAAATATTCATGCTTTTGACCAAGTCTCCTGAATGGATCTCACTGTTGTCAGATCGTGCCTGCCACCTATATCCCCACGTCTTTCACTCCCCTTGAATGTTGTGGGCATGGAGCAGCCTGACACACAGAAGGTTGGGACTGCAGGCAGCTTTGACTACATGGCATCTTTTGGGCTTTGCCCCTTTAATGTGTGCTTGCTGCTGTAAGTCGGAAGGCATTCAGCAGCCAGGGTACTGCTCGGGCTCACACCCATAGGGAAGCTTTCTCTTGGGAAGAGAATGCCAACTCCATACGAAACCACTGAGAGTGGAAAGGCAGTTCTCTGTGTACCAGTGGGGTATCAGGTCGGTGAATTAGCTGAAAGCTTTAGGGTGGGAAGAGTTTGAGGCATCACGGTCACATACGAGAACAGTGAGTGGGGGGAGAAAACGTGCGAGGGCACTGACCCTCATCTTGAGTAGTGTATGCAGTGTAGTGGCAAGGAGTATTTGTTTGGGTATGGAGAGGAGGGGGAATGCTGTGGGAATCCAGATGTTTACACAGGTGGCTGGCTGGGCTGTGGCATTACTCCTGCAAACTCCTTTGGAGAACTAAAATAAGAACGCAGCCGTAGCGAAGCCAAAGCGCGCTGCTGAGAAGCTTAAATGCAGACTTCAAAGGCAGGGATGCAACGCTGTTTGCCAGCTCCTTCCGTCTGGGGAGGATACAGTGCTGCTGCTCTCTGCTGTGCCCTATCATGAGACCTGCTCCGAGTTTTGAGTTAGTGATACTCTGGTAAAAAATCATGGCATCCGTTTTACCTGTGGCCTGGATTACTTCTGCGGTCACTGGAAGCGTTACGGGCATCGGTGTAGCACAGGCTTTGTACAGCTCATCAGGCATTCCCAGTTTGAGGCTAGTGGTCCCCTCTAGCTGTAATTAACTTGCCATTCAGACACCACGTGCGCAGAGCCAGAGTTGCGACTGTTCGCCCCGCGGTTCTGTACTGCTTTCTGGTTGGCTTCTCTCTGAAAGCTGGGACTTGTGTGTTAACAGTGGAGAACGGAAACTGGGACCGCTTACCGGAGCAGCAGCGCCTGGCAATCGTCAGTGTTCGCATCATGGTTCACGAGTGGCCTTTGGCATCCAGTTCCAATTTGCAGCTGATTGTCATTCAGGAAGAAGTGACAGAAATTGATGGAAAACAGGTAAAAAAACCCCAAAAACCCGACATTCTTCTTGGTTTTAATTTAGTAGAAGCAAGTGCTTACCAAGGATTGAAAGGCTTGTCTTTGGCTGGTGGTTAGAGCACAAAGTACATGATGTAATGCTAGTGAGGGGGACAGTACCAACCTGAGCTGCCTCTATAGCAGCGGGGGTGTTTCATGAGGAGACGTCAAAGTTTTAATGCGTCTATTTGTGTTTCAATAATTAAGTGTTGGATGACTTTCCCTTAAGCTTGTTAGAATATCATTAACTCTGTCACATGCTCATTCAACACCTTCATAACAGGTCGCCAGGTCAGACTCACAGACTCACAAGCAATTACATCCTTTACAAAATAACGAACAAAATAAACACAAGGGGCATGGGCTTCTTCTGAGGGTTTCCCCACTGTTTATTCCAAGCTAACAGAGCCTTGCAAGCATGCAGCCTGGGGAGTAGCTTGCAGCAGCGTGCTCTTAGGGCAGGTGGGCTTGTGGTAAAAGCCCTCAACACATGAGAGTGTAGCCTTAGAATATTTTGCATGTAAGGTAATTAATTAATTTGAATTAAAAGCTTGATAATGCACGTAGATTTTGAGATTAACGGGGAAAAAAAAACCAAACCAGATTCTAACTGTATTTGCACAAATATGAGCAAATGTGAGGGGTTACACAATTCTAGCTGAGACTGAAAAGTGCAGAACTGAGTTCACAGAATCGCCGATTGTTGCAACCAGAGAAGTTCTGGAGAGAAGATACAGCTGTTGAAGCCAGCAAAAGTGTCAAGTTTTTGTTTCAGTTCGTGTCTGCATACTGCACGTGGCCAGGCTCTTTTGAAGCTGGCTGATGTTCTGCTACCTTTTTTGTTTTCTAAAGGAGAATGACGATAAGACGATAACAGCATTGATCCTTAATTAACTGCATGCTCAGTGTGTAGTATTTTTTTACAGGGCCCTGTCAAGATTTTACTCTGATGAAAAATCCCACTGAGAGGTCGGAAGCTTTTCTAATGAGGTGTTTATCCCGCTGCAAGGAGGCTCATAATATCCTGGTTCGGTTGTTACACGATAACGTCGTCGTATTTCAGAGCAGACATCACAATGCTTTGCAGATTTTCACAGGGACCTGGTAGGAACAACCAGAAAGCTGATGCCATTTCCTTAATTGTTCCTTTAATTCCGAAGCTTTCAACCGTTCTCACTAGTCATCAGCCGGCAGTAACGACCACCCCTCTCACCATGCTGTTCTGCACATGTTCAAAGAGAAAGGAAGACCTTTGGTCGGCCTGTGGCTCCGCAAGCATGAGTGAAACTCTCTCATGCTGCATTCCTCTCTCACCCGTTCTGTTTCTGCGCAGCAGTTACAGCCATGGTCACAAACGCTCTGGATTTCTGTCGCTTCTGGGCCTCGCAGCGCAGTCACTGACGTTGGCAGGAGTTACGCCAAACACGGTCTGTACAAGCGATGCCTGCAGCGCTTACAAAGTCATAGAATCACAGACTGGTTTGGGTTGGAAGGGACCTTAAAGACCATCTAGTTCCAACCCCCCTGCCATGGGCAGGGACACCTTCCACTAGAAGGTGTCAAATGAATGAGGAGCAAGAGAACTGTTCTTCCAGTTGTTCGAAAAAAGCAACGTGACAGCAAAAGCGTACGTGTCAGTCTTGCCTCAGCAACACTTCCAATGTTTGCAGGTGCTCTTTCACTATGTGCTTGAGTTTTCCAAGCCCTAAACTGCCTCCCTGAAAGAGGATCATAATGGGCTATGTAAGACTTGGTTACCAGCCCATGGAGTGACTGTCACATGCTCTTGCCAGGGAGAGAGAGATGCAGGCTGTTCAGCCTGTCTTGTCATGTGGTACAGTAGTCTGCGGAATGTGGTGAGTGACAGCAAAGAAGACTAATTCGTGTTACAACATCCCTGTGTCGAAATCTGAATGGCTTAGAGTTTTCTGTCATGCATGGGTTTCCCTACTTGGCGCTTACTTTAGACTCGGTAATAACGATTTTTTTTGCAGGAAGAAGTAACAGAAATAGATATCTTAGTAAAGGACCTGAGAGTACTTAGACATTCGAACTACACTGTCCCTTTGAAAGAGAGCATGCTGTATTCCATCCCAAGGGACAACGACATGTTATTTACACTTCCCAACCTCTCAGGAAAAGGTATCTCTTAGCTGTTATATAACATCAATTTTATCCACAGTTGATGTAGTACTTTACAGGGGTGAAAGACCATCATTATATCTGTGTTTTACATAGTGAAACAGTTTCTTCGTTAACAGGGAAGTGTTTTGTTTTATGTGGTTTGGTTTTTTGTGTTTGGTTTTTTATAATGCCCAAATGCAACTCTTCTGCATTCTAGGTATTCTGTTTGTTTTAAAATCTGTTTGCCCTTGGAGCACTTTGTACTTGTCGATCTGCAGCCCAGATATCTCACAGGAATGAATTTTTCTCTCAATGCTATGATAGGGGTTTCTCTAAAGCTTCCTCCCCTTTTTCCTGAGAATGAAAGAGAAAACTTGAGAGGAAATACCTGTCTGGGTCACTTCCAAACCAGAGAATAGTTTTATGTTACTAAACTTGAACAACTTAAAAGCAAGAAAAATTATTTGATGCCTTAATCTTATTTCAGCTTTGTTTAATTAAAAACTCCCAAGGATTTCATAGATGAGATGGATATTTTGATTTAGTTCATCACCTTTTAATCTGGCGACAGATGAAATTTACAGCCAAGAGCACAGCTAAAGGCTGCACTGTAACACTGCTGCTGCTTCTGACTCGAGTCAAACACAAAGTCAGCCTTCTGTGTTCTTGCTGTGAGTGCGTGAGAACTGTACCATAAGTGGAGTTCAACAAGGCCAAGTGC